CGTTTATACAAAACTTGATATTGTATATTTTATAAGTTATTTGTAGTTTATTTGAATCTGGATATTTATACAAAACTTGTATTTTTTTAGTTACTTTCAGATTGTCTGGATCTGCCAAAGGCCATGAAGTAAAGGCCACAACATCTAAGTATGTAATTTTTTGTGTTTGTTACGCTTGTTTTTATTGTATATCTATTTTATTGTTTTTATGCAAACATGTTCAGCACCATTTACGAATCAGAGACAAACATGAATAAAAGACTTATTTTTCTATAAAAACGAGCGAGAATAGAAACTAATGCTGGTAAAACATTCAACATCATCTCTCATCCTGTGTTTTAATACTATGTCACCACAACTAATATAATAATAGCTTTACAACACAATCGCACATCGACTGTTAACAGTGGATTCAATGGCCTTGGTTTACTGAAGTTTTTATAATAATATATTTATTTATCACACCCGTTTCAAACAACTAACACTTGTCTGAGTTAATTGCAGGGGACGACCAGTAAACTAACGTCATATAAATTCTTCTAAAATTCAATATACCTGAAACTGAGAAAAGTAAAACAAAAATAATTTCAAATTAAGCAGAAAAGAATTGGTATAAGTTATTACTTTATGTAATAAAATAAACCCAAATGTTATATTGCTTTAAAATTTAAATCTTTTGAAGGGTACAGTTCAAATAAGTAAGTTATACCTTTATTCTCATATGCCAGACCATAGTGCTTTAAATAAGGGACATGCTATCATATGTTGAACTGAAACAAAAAACAACCATTTAAAATCCTAAAAAAAGTATTTAGGATTTGTTTTAGAGCCCAATAAAGTAAGGTACATCCTGTACTGCTACTACAAAAACGAAGCGTATACTTCTTTACAACTGGCAGAAACTTCCACAAACAATAACTGTCTAGTGAATAATAGAACTTCCTTTGATAGGCCTACAATGGACAGAATACCATTACAATTTAATATTATACAGGGATGTAAGTAGATGGTATTGTATCACAATGTCACTATCATTAGTGGAGGTCAATCCAAGAGTTGGTTAGTAGCTCAGAATTAGGGACAGTGGCTAATAATTCAAAAACAAATATAATGGCCCCATGGTATGAGCATGTTTGGTGGCAATGTGGATCAAACCAACAATTCTCATATAACGGCTCCATGGCACGACCATGTTTGGTAGCATGTGAATCGTACCAAAGATTCTTATATAATGGCCCCATGGTATGAGCATGTTTGGGTGGCAATGTGGATCAAACCAACAATTCTCATATAGCGGCTCCATGGCACGACCATGTATGGTGGCATGTGAATCGAACCAAAGATTATCATATCCTGAGGCAGCCCCATGGCACGACCATGTATGGTGGCATGTGAATCAAACCAAAGAATCTTATATCATGAGGCGGCCCCATGGCACGACCATGTATGGTGGCATGTGAATCGAACCAAAGATTCTCATATCGTGAGGCAGCCCCATGGCATGACCATGTATAGTGGCATGTGAATCGAACCAAAGATTCTCGTATCCTGAGGCGGCCCCATGGCACGACTATGTTTGGTGGCATGTGAATCGAACCAAAGATTCTCATATCCTGAGGCGGCCCCATGGCACGACCATGTATGATGGCATGTGAATCGAACCAAAGATTCTCATATCCTGAGGCGGCCCCATGGCACGACCATGTAT